AATCTAAGCAAAAATATTATCGGAAACTTGTGAGACCGAAATGAAAAAATGATAAAAAAAGAAAAAAAGAATAAAAGTTATTCCCCGGAAAAAAAAAATCGTATATTTTCCCGTGAGGTAAATTGACGCCATGAACGTAAAATTTATCGTTGGGTTCAAAATCTCATGAGAAGAAAAAAATCGTAGGATGCATTATGGTCTTTTATTTTTACCTTAAAGTTGGGAAAGCCTAAATACTTACGGTAGAGGCTCAGGGTAATTTTGTAACCATTTTCACAGGATATTTTTTTGTGGTTGTGTGTGAGTGGCAGAGGGGTTGTGGGTGGTGGGAGGAGGGGTCGTTAGGGTGGGCGTAAGGCTGGGTGGGTGGGTGAGCCGATGGGTGAACGGGTGGATGGATGAGTAGGTGGGTGGGTGGGTGCATCAGTGGTAGGGGTTGTTGGGTTACGAGAGGTCACTAGGGAGGATGGGTGGGGTAGTGGCAGGTGTCGTTAAATGTGAAGGACAACTAGGATGGGCGTGAGGGTGGGTGGGTGAGGTGGGCGGGAGGATGGGTGGCAGGGGTGGGCGTGGAGATAAGTACAGGTGTTCGTGTACCTGGAATAAGAGGATCACGGTCTGCCTGGTGCTGCCTCACACCTTGTATAATGTGCAGCTTATATCACCTGTTCCTGGCTCTCTCTCTCTCTCTCTCTCTCTCTCTCTCTCTCTCTCTCTCTCTCTCTCTCTCTCTCTCTCTCTCTCTCTCTCTCTCTCTCTCTCTACCTCTTCGTTTCTCTCACCTTCATCATCCCTCCTCCCATTACCCTCCCTCCTTCCCCTCCTCCATCACTCTCTCTCCCACACTCTTCCTCTTCTTTTCCCTACACACACACAGACACACACACACACACACACACACACACATCCCACCCGACATACACCCACGCACACACTGACCCTCAAAACACTTTACCGATAGCATCTAAAGGTCTCAAAGCCCACGCCAGGTTATAGCGTGAAAAACAACATATACCTTAACCCATCGGTCCACCCACAGACATAACACAGGGATGGTAACATATAGATGGCTATATTTCAAGTCTATATTTACACTATATTACATAACCTACGTCGATATACCGTATATATGATGTTGAATGTTAGGAGATGGATTTGATAGTGGTAGTTTCTTTCAATGTTGTAATGGGATTCAAATAGAGGTGAAATTTTATGATAGTTTCCGTTAGTTTTGTAATGAGGAGTTGAAATAATGGGAGATAAATGTGCACGGAAAATCAATACACGTGCACTCACCAACAGTAACATTATGCTAGGATCAAGACACCTGTGCATGGAACAAGAAACACATTAAGTTGGATGTAATGAGTATTGCCATCACCTCTCCCACCCCCCTATATACTCTCCTCCTTTCCTTACCTCTCCTTCCCCTACCCTCTACCCCACCTTCCCTCCCCTCCTCTACCTTCTTATCCCCACCTTCCCCTATCTCTCCCCCCCCCCCAAGGAAAATCAAAAGCTCCTTGTAATGGAAATAACCCAATTTAAAATCTTCCTCAACTTTCTTTCCCCACTAGAAAAAAAATTATTCGTCGTCAAGACTTCTCTCTTTCATTTCCTTCCTTCCTTCCTTCCTTCCTTCCTTCCTTCCTTCATTTATCTATTTCTAACTCCCTTCCCTCCTACCCTCCTATATTTCTATCCTTTCTTTGTTCACCCATTTCCTGGCTAAGATCTCTCTCTCTCTCTCTCTCTCTCTCTCTCTCTCTCTCTCTCTCTCTCTCTCTCTCTCTCTCTCTCTCTCTCTCTCTCTCTCTCTCTCTCTCTCTCTCTCTCTCTCTCTCTCTCTCTCTCTCTCTCTCTCTCATTCTACCATCTCCAAAAATATTCTCCTTTTTTATTTTAATCTCCTGTTTCTTTTTCTCTACGTTGTTACATATTTACATAATATTAAGATGTGTGCTGTATATTAATTTTGTATCAGTCGCCATTGTAAAAACGTTTTCTATGAAGGAAGAAAATAAAAAATATATACATCTTTTGTAATAATTAGTATATATTTTGCACTAGACGTGAATTATATTGATTCTATGTATTTTTTTATATTATGTTATCATATAATATTATGTACTTATATAAAGAAGTACGGAGTTAATATTCTAATTGTAAAAGATGTATTGGTTATTTACATTCTGGAGCTGCCTTCCTCCAGGGGTGAATACAGGGTGTGGATGTGAGACCAGGAGAGTGACTATAATCTTATTTCATCCATCGTTTATCCTATATTGTGGTATTAATTTACTCACTAATATTAGGGGTGAATGTTAGGTGATACTTTTGTTTACGGTGAAGGGACATACCGGTATTATGGGATTAAGATAAACTTCTAAATTAGGTAGATCGCAGGACCATGCAGTGTTAATGCCCGTAGTATTATTTCACTGTAAAACAAATAAGCTGGTATTTCTTTGAGTCCTGGTTATATAATTTAATGAATTGTTTCCTTGGATTCATTCTCACAGTGTAATTATACTTAATGTCATCTTCAACTGTCAGCTGGAGGTAGCAGAGGATTATCTACATGATTCTGGTCTGTTAACCGAAGCTGTTATTTCAGAATGTAAGTCTGATTAATGGGCCTAGGAGTTGAAGCACTGCTGGAAGAGGAGGATTATTCAGCAGTGACCGAGACACCGTCTTCTCCACTTTCATGTTCTTCTTATTTTTCTTAATTTATTTCGTTTCCTTCCTTCCGTCGTTTTATTGTAAAATCATTCTCTTCTCCTTCGATCTCTCAAATAATTTCTCTCTCTCTCTCTCTCTCTCTCTCTCTCTCTCTCTCTCTCTCTCTCTCTCTCTCTCTCTCTCTCTCTCTCTCTCTCTTAAAAGTAGCAAGCAGTTTTATAGTTGCCACATCAATACTATAGTTTCCAACGTAATCACTGTCCTTCCCTATGTACAGGTAACTACGACATGTATATGAGCATTGGTCAATATTCTCCCCTATATAATTATGTATATATATATATATATATATATATATATATATATATATATATATATATATATATATATATATATATATATATAAAAGAAAAGTTTGACGCCCGTCAGTCGATCAGTAATATCCAGTCACTCGTAAATAATTGTACCTCTCCATTATTATCAATAACATGGAGAATAGACGTCTTTGAAGCATAAGAAAAAATATAGAAAAACAAAAAAAGGACTTTCCCATTGCATAGCTTGTTTGTAATAATAACGAAGTAAAAGGTCGGTACTATTGATACATTTTTATTTGATTACACGCAAAAATTAGTAGTCCGGAAAAATTATTAGTTACAAGCAGATTACTGAAAATATACTGAGTTACTGTAATCGATTACAAATACATGCTTACCTGCCCACCACAGTGACCTCCGCCACAACTGACAGATATATCCCTCCCACCCTCTCCTTCCTCCTCCCCTTCTTCCCACCTTCTCCCCCTTCCTCCTCCTCCTCCCTTCCCACCTTTTCCCTCCTACTCTCCGTCCTCCGAATCCACCCTCTCCCTCTCCCTCCTCCTCCTCCCCTCCCTCCCTCACCCTCGTCCTCCCCTCCCTCCCACCCTCTCCCTCCCCTCTCATCCTTTCCATTGTCCTCCTCCTCCCCACCCTCTCCCTCCACCTCCTCGCCTCCCACCCTCTTCCTCCACCTCCTTTCTCATCTTCTACCAACCTCTTTCCCTATCATCCTCCCCACTCCTTCCACCCCGTACCCCACACCCTTCCCACCCCCATTATCTCCCTCCTCCTCGCCTCCTACCCTCTTCCCCTTCCTCCGTCTCATCCTCTCCCCACCTCCTCCCCTCCCACCGTCTCCTCTCCTTCCCTTCCATCCTCTCCCTCCTCCTCCGTCCCCCCCCTACATCCTCCCCTTCCGCCTCACCCCACGAAGACAGCTGACGGGAAATAGAAAGGGTAAATAACAACGAAAAAAGGAAAATCCAAACCAGTCTCCCCAAATTCACAGTGACACCCTTATGCAGAAGAAAATTCATCCATTAGTAACCAATAATGCCCAGATAGAATACAAAATCAGAGGCACCCTCCTGGGCCTGCATATATCCACGACAGGTTACTCCCATCATGTCCACACCACGAAGGAAAAGGCAAGAAGTTAAAAAAACTATACCTCTTTAACTCGCTTCCTGAAAAAATAAAACTCCGCCTGGTTACATCACTTATCATACCGATATTAACTTACCCAGCAGTACCTCTTCATACTATGAGCACCACGCAATTATTAAAACTACAGGTTGTCCAAAATGAAGCTCTGAGATTCATCACCTGTGAAAGATACCCTTTTACCAGAAGCACAGCCGATATACATAGAGACCTGAGAATAAAACCCATCAACCAGCAGCTGCACACCCTGGCCAGCAGAGTCTGGTATAAGATAGAACGATCAGAGCAAAAACTCCTTCAAAGACTCCAGCTAGACAACGACAACAACCTTACATGGTTCCTAAAAAGTTACGAAACCTCAAAACGTCCATTACCCCCTCTGATCTATACGGCCAGGCAATCACTAGACCAGCATCCGCCAGTAGGGTGGGTGGAATATGAAATGAGGTCCTCAAAACACCCATATATTGGATAGGGTAGTCTGTGTAGTGCCTGTGTCGACAAGAGCGACCAGCCAACCAGAAACCAGCTCTAAGAAAACCACCTACAATAACTAACCCAATACACAACCCTAACACTCCATTAGCTGAGTTAATCCGTAGCAAGGCGGTCAGCCCGCCTCCTTTTACCTCCTAAATTTCCTCAATTTCCGAAATAAAACTCCAATCCCCTCACCTCAAATCTTTTTTCACCCATTCTTCCTTCAAAAAAGTAATAATCACCCTCTTCCACCCTCTCACTCTTCCTCCCCCTCTTCCTCCCCCTCTTTCCCCCCCTCCACCCTCTCACTTTTCCTTTCCTCCCTGTTAACATAGAGATAAGGACACTCACGGATCTATCGCCAAGATGTGAGACACTGCAGGGGAGGAAGGCGGAGTCTCCAGTCAGAGCCGTAATGTTTTGTGGGGTATCCTCGAAGCTGGGGGACAGGATGTGGGGGTATCCTGACCACAGCTGAGACGACGATTCCAGCTTCTTGGGGTCGAAGGAGACAGCTGTTGTGGGAGAGAAGAGAGAGAAAGTAATTAGCTGTGGTGGTGGAGTGGATATATGGTGATAATTAGCTCATGAACTGGGCAGTCATTTTACCCAGTTCGTGAAATGGGTTCCCAACATAAACCAACTCGACTTAATCTAACCTAACCCGACCCGATCGAACCCAACCTAACCTAACGAAGTGTAGCCTAGCATGGCCCAGCATAGTCTAGCCTGCCACAGCCTATCCCAACCTAACCTAGCTTAGCCAAACCTAACTTAGGCCAACCTAATTTAACCTAAGCTATTAGAAGCCTATTAAACGAACTAGGTAAAATTACCTTACCTAGCCCAACTTAACCTAATCGAACATAATTTTGGTTACTAGGTTAGGTTAGGTAAGGTTGGGTTGGGTTAGGTTAGGTAAGGTTGGGTTGGGTTAGGTTAGGTAAGGTTGGGTTGGGTTAAAATACCTTAAGTTGGGCTGGGTTGGTTTAGGTTAGTTTGAGAACCCTTTTCGTGAACTAGGCAAAATTACTGCTAATTTCACGAATTGGGCAGTTTCACAAACGGGGCGTAACACACACACACACACACACACACACACACACACACAGGCCATCACATAAAAGAACACAGACCTCCCATCGCGAGGGTGTAAGACGTTGTTCTCAGGAGACCAGGTAATAAATATTCCACTCTATATGATAATAGCATCTTATCTATGTTTATGTACAAGAGACCCCGTTGATAGGAACCACACACACACGAGTGTAGGACAAAAGCCTCCTAGCACAAATAATAATTAGAATTTTATATCATTATTTTTATTCTTTATTATTTACAGTTTACAGTTTATGAACCTAATCTAACCTAACCTAACCTAAGTTGCACTTTAACTGGAGGAGGGGGGTTGTCCAGGGGGCTTTTGTCCGGGGTGAGATTTTGTCCTAGAAGTTTTTGTCCAGCTCCCAAATCCCTTCCCTCAACCCTTCTTTTTCACCGAAATATCAGCCAAATCCCGCCAAAATGGACAATTTAGTTTCGGAAAGGAATGGAATCAGTGATGCACAGTGTTTCGGCCAGTGAAATCAACAGTAACAGCTGAGAGCCATGGCCCCCGGCGGTTTGGTGTTAATCAGTCCATTCACGGAAGAACCGTGGGTTGGCTTTACACCAACCAAACTATGAGTACCACAACACCACGTGACAGAGATTGAGGTAGTGTGGCACCATACCACATGGTGACTCCATGACACTGTAGCGTAATGATCGAGTTGTTACGTCGTCATGAGAAGATCCTTATAGCAACACCTGTGAACACGTTACTGCAGCACCACGTGAGGTCATTCTGTCAACACTCGTGGACAAGTTACTGCACCACTACGTGAGGTTCTTCTGTTAACACTTGTAGCCAAGTTATTGCACCATGTGAGGTCCTTCTGTCAAAACCTGTGGACAAGCTACTGCAGCACTAAGGTTCTTCATGTCAACACCTGTGGACAAGTCACTGCAGCACGTAAGGTCCTTCATGTCAACACTTATGGACGAGTTACTGCAGCACGTAAGGTCCTTCATGTCAACACCTGTGGACGAGTTACTGCACTACGTGAGGTCCTTCTGTCAACACCTGTGGACGAGTTACTGCACCACGTAAGGTCCTTCTGTCAGCATCTGTGGACAAGTTACTGCACCACGTGAGGTCCTTCTGTCAACACCTGTGGACGAGTTACTGCAGCACGTAAGGTCCTTCATGTCAAGACCCAAGGACGAATTACAGCACCACGTGGCACACATGACCTCAAACAGTTGGGTAAGAGACCAGCCCCTGCCATCTATTGTAAACTATAATTCGTATGTTCATTCCGTGTTCCCTTTCCTTTGTGTGATGAAAGCTTTTGTTAAGAGACCCACTCCCCTATGCCATTGTATGTAATAAGTCCTTTCTGCCCAATGTATATTTTAAGCCTTTTGGGAGCTGAACTCTTTCAATAAACCGTTATTATTATTAAACACACACACACACGGACACCCATAGCCACACACACACACACACACACACACACACACACACACACACACACACACACACACACACACACACACGGACACCCACAGCCACACATACACACACACACACTGATATGTAAGCTCACGAAAAGGAGTGTTTAAGAGTCATTTCCCCCAATTAACCTGGCCACGAGCATCATAGGAGAACTCAGGTAATATCAGGTGTATTTAAGGGGAGGTACTGATTCTCAAAGGGGTAAGGTAGCAGTTATGTATATGTTAATGTCTTTTACTGGTGGATAAGGGTCCTTTGCTTTTGTTAGTTGAATCTGGTGTGTGTGTGTGTGTGTGTGTGTGTGTGTGTGTGTGTGTGTGTTGAAGGTGATGTTAGGTACTAAAGTTTTTGTGTCTATTTGAGTTTATTATTATTTGTATTATTATTATTATTATTATTATTATTATTATTACCATCATCGCTGTAAGTTAACTTCCTATCACGAATATAATATAAATAAAAAAAAACAATTAATGAGTAGTTGATTAATTATGGAGAGACTTGACACTACAAACCTTATTATTATTCTAAGTAAACCTCTCCTCATCTTCTTCCTCTCCCCTCTCTCCTCCTCCTCCTCCGCGTTCCGATTAGGTTAGGTTAAATTAGGTTAAAATTATATTATGTATACAATCACATTACTCCACGAGATGACAACACTCTCCCTCTCTCGGACATCATCCTCGTTTGGGTTAAATTCACACGATCCGGGAACCTGTTTATGACATCACGACTTTTTGGCACCTACAACAAGAACAACACGCCAACAACAACGTCATTATCCCTCGCTTACAGCATTATATCCTCTATGTGCCTATGATTTTTTTACCCAGTTATTTTAGCGGATTTTTTTCTTCTGTAAACACGGCCTTATATATACGGAGATATAAGCTATGATGTTATGAAGGGATATTTACGTGTATTAAGTTGATAATCCAGGATGAAAGACGCCTGGTGTTGTCTTATGCGGGGTCTGGTGTTGCCTGGAGGTGTGTGTGTGTGTGTGTTATGAACTAATGAAAATGTCAGAATCCTTCACCTGTTTTCACCTGCCATAACAGCTTGCCATCCAGTAAATAAAAATCATCTATTTATTTATTTTTGTGTTGGTGGGTAAATATTGTTCATACCAGTTATTGATATTTTTTCTTTAGATGTTTTAAGTTTTAAGAGCGATATAGATATCGTTTAGTAGATTTTGTATTTTAATACAATAAACTGTTTTTAAATATAGAGAAGAAAACATTACTTTGACTTTCACTTTCACTTCTGCTCCCTCGAGGCATTTCGAGTGAAAAAATAGAATTTAATTCTTTGAGTGAGACTCGAGAATCTCAAATATGCCACGATGACACACACACACACACACACGGACACACACACACACACACACACTGTCTCCAACCTCCCCAGCAGCTCCAGCACGAGCTATCAACAGCGCCTGGCATTTCACCCTCCATTCCACAACGACAGTCCTGTGGGATCAACGCTAGACGAATCGTTTGCTCGCCTTCGCCATGGCCCAGTTGGTGGTATGCTCGTAGAGGTGTCACGTTGCCTGACTCCATCCACCTTGGAGTTCAAGGACAGGTGCTTTCTAAACATAACCCCCCCCCCCCTCCACGCCATTATGCTGGGGACCTGACCACGGTGTATTGACTTCACCTGGACGGCAACAACGGACAGGTGAAAAGGCCATAGAGATTGACGTCAGGAGAATATCGACCCCGGGGGCCTTTTATACAGGAAGACGACTATCGGAAAACCTATCCTTAGCTTTACCTACCCTTACCCTTACCTACCCTTACCCTTACCCAACCACACATCCATCTCTCACTCTCTCTTCCTTTCTATCCTTCTATCTACACACACACACACACACACACACACACACACACACACACACACACACACACACACACACACACAGGTACACCAGGCAGTATAAGAAAACCATTAGTGCCCATCGGAAAATCTATTACCAAGATCTCCACACTCCCGGGCAAAACTCCTCCTTCCTCCCTCTTGTTCCTTCCCTCTCTTCTCTCTCCTCTCTCTCTCTCTTATGCCTCCTTTTTGTTCCCTACCTCTACCTCCTTTCTTTCCTTCCCTCTATCTTTTTTTTTGCCTCTTCCTCCCTACTTATCTTTTTTTTTTCTTCTCTTTTCTCTTTTCCTCTCTCCTCCTTATTATTTCCTTCCCTTCGCTATGACTTTTTTCATCCCTTTTTTTCATAATTCGTTCTCTCTCTCTCTCTCTCTCTCTCTCTCCTTCCTGCCCTCCTCATTCCCCAACCATCCTACTACCCTCCCTCCTCACTTATTTTCTCCTTTTCTTTCCTTTCCCTATTTCTCTCTCCCTCTTTCGAACCCTCCTCCTCTCTCTACGTAAATCCACCTTTACTTCCCCTCCTCCATTACATTCTCACCATTTCCTTCAACCCTCAACCTCCCTTTCCATCACCCCCCCACCAGCCTTCCCATCACTTCCATCCTCCAACCCTCCCTTCAACCCCCACCCTCCTCCTTTCCCCCACCCTCCTTCAACCCCCCCTCCCCTCCTTTCACCTCCACCCTCCCTTCCCATCACCACCTCCTTCAACCCCCCACCCCCCCCCCCTCCTATCACCCCTACCCTTCTTTTCCTTCACCACCATCCTCCCACCTTCCCTTCATCTCTTCACCTCCCCCCTCCTCGTCACATAACTCTTTAATTTACCCCAAAAGTATAAAAACTATGAGAAAGTTTTAGCACTAATATTCAGAAAGTTTTCATCGCTTCAGTATCAATAATGTTTTGGGGTTACCATAATGGTGAATAAAGAGAGGAGGAGGATAGTGGGAGAAGATTAACGCCAGGTGCAGTAATTTACCTGTAAAGAGAGAGAGAGAGAGAGAGAGAGAGAGAGAGAGAGAGAGAACATACATACATACATACATACATACAATACATACATACAGTACAT